TTGATATGTTGATCCAAGTACTTAGCAAATAAATTAGCAGCTTTTGTCAGCAATTTGAACAATTGAAACTATTTACATTGTTAATCATAGATTGGCTCTTGGTAGTCAGTGGGAAAGAAAAACAGAATGGCTTTCGTCAAACTGTGTTCGTTTCGAAGGTAGCTCGATAGAGTTTTTTACAGTTTGTTGACATTGTTCCCTTATTTGGGACTTCAGATCATATATATTGCTATATAAAAGGATTCAATCCGAGTCCCATTTATAAATATCGATTATTACCTTATTTTTAGTTGTCCCAAAGTAAATATTAGTTTTGTTTCACTGTTGCTAAGTTCCTAGATTTCTATACACTCCTTCTCTTTCCCTCAGTCTTTCTCTCTCCCCTTAGTCGCAATGAGAATGGAAGTACTAAAAAAACCTGTTTGCATGCTAGCGACCCATTAATATATCCAACCCAGCGAATGTCAACTAAAACTTTTGGCCCATTTTTATGACCAACGCCCTTCTCCATTTCTTCTTGGCGTGGCTGATACCTTAGAGAGGGCCTCACGCTGGGGTCCTTGTCGGCATTTTCGGTGTCATTGCACGTTTGACATGCACAAAGTGTCAACGCGCGACCCCGGGCACGCCCAGTTCCTCGTGACAGTTACAACTCCCTCATAAGCGGCTGCACCTCCTGCATAACTTTTATTTTAATTTTGTTTTTGACAATTCTATTGTGCTCCAGTTTGAGYATTACTTATATATGTATATAAATGTATATATATGTGTGTGTGTGCACAGCTCTGTAGCATAAAAGCTTTTCGCTGTAAACAATGCGCGCATTGCCAACCCCTGAGCCAAACAAATCCAACGCAGCGACTTATTCAGTGGAGTCCACTCAACTCTCCTTCCCTTTGCCCTTTCGCTCTGTCTTTCTCTTTGCCCTTTCTCTCTCTCTTTCTCATTGCCTTTACTCTCTCACTCTGTCTTTCTCTTTCCCGCTCTGTCTTAACTACCTATCGTTTGTTTGGTTCGCGGCGCCAGCCATATGTTGCTTGCCCTTTTCTGATCCTTCTGCTCAAGTTTCCCAGTCCCCCGACTACTAAAGCCAGAGTAGCGGTTGGACGAACCATTTTCAAATTTGGCGTTTCCTGTCGACAACAACAGCACAAATTAGTTGCAACTTACCAACTGAATGGCTACTAGCCTAGGCCTTTTTCCATCCAAGGAAACTCAGAAATACCCTAAGAAAAAATACAGCTCATTCACTTCATTATTTAAGTTACAGACGAGGGAAACGAAATGTATATAATTGTATTTAAATGAGAATTTAATAAGAGTATCATTACTATTGCATTCGAATAATTGATTTGATTTCATCAATTACCAAACAAACAAAAATTAGATGATATTGTATAATTATCGTATTAAACTATTTTCATTTAATACAATTTTAAAAATATCGATAACTGTTTAATCGATTTGTGCAATCTGAATATTCAAATTTCAAGTAGCTATTGACTGTAGAATCGTTTCTATATACATATAAAATATATAAATGTATTTAAATAAATATACTTGAAAATAATGAATAGATAACCAAATTAAATATTTATGTAAGTAGAACAATCTCTTTTTTATCAACAACAAATATATTTAACTTAAGGCCTCCCAATTTGTAGTGCTATCGTAAATTTAAATTAAAACCAAAGGCAAACGCAAAACGCGTTAAGAACTAGCTATAAAGTACTTTGTTCCATTTAGGGAGGATATTAAATAGCCGCTTAGAAAAAAATCGCCCTATTAATATGCAAGTAGCGCAACCCTATTCGGCGCTCAAAGTACCTACGCTTTATAGATGTTGCGCTTTTCTTTGTTTTTTTTTCGGCTTTTATTCTTTTAGTATAATTTTCTTGTTTTCCTTTTCTTTGCTTTTTGTGTGGTTTTGCTTTCTTTGTGCTTGGGATTTTCACTTCAAAGCGGCAGTCAGTCAACTGGCAGTTTGTGCGTTCGTAGAACTGGGTTAGAGCGTCACATTCGCATGCCACATGCCACATGCCGCATGCCACATGCAGATGAAAGCAGCCGCTGCCGTGTCTGTGCCCCAACACAGCCGTAAAGTAATTCGCAAAAAAGTATGCTACGGCATTTTGTTGAATATATATTTGCTCTCTTTCTATTTTTGCTGCCGGCTTTTGCAACCCCCTATGCAAAATACGACACGACAACGTGTGTGTATGTGTGTGTGTGTGGGTATGCATGTGATGAGTCATACAGTTAGGCTGCCTGCCTCATCGCATTTTGTATAGAGATTTTAATCGCATTTACTTAGCCGAGGCAGATATCTGCCAAGGAGCAGCTTGCATAAAAAAAAAAAACAAAAACAAAAACTATCGCTGGGGTTAAGTGGCAGGCAACAGACCTACACACACACACATATATATATATATATACATACATAGATAGAAAGGCAGCTAAGTAGACAAGGAAGTGCATACATTACGCAGGGGTCCCCAGACGAAGCTAGCAGCTGGTTCGCTGCACATTTTGCTGCTTCGGTTGGGCTGCTCAACTTTTTCGGTACCACCTTACCAAGTTGCCACCTTGCCACCTGCTGCCAGATGGTGTTGCCTGATGGCGACAGCGTTGCCGACTTGGTTGAGTGAACCGTGAGCCGAGTCTGTAGGGTACATGCGGGCACGGGGTTGGGCCACTGAGTCAGCGCCTCTGGCAGTCGCATTTATTGACTAATGCTGGCTGGCCTGGCGCTGGTCTGGCATGGGGTTAACCGAGGGTTAGCTAACGCTTAACCCAGGGGGGCTTGTCCGCCAACTTAATGTGTCATTGGCAGAACGTCATCGTCATTTTGCCGTTGCCAGGCAACAGTCGTTCCGACAAACAGGAGCGCTGCCAAGGCGCACGGCAACAGTCGATTATGCGACTCCATGGCATTAGAATATGGATTTATGTGGGAACGAGCAGTCAAATTGAATTTGTGCGAGTCCATTTCCTTTCGTTGGAGAACTGTAGCTGCCTGTGCATGTAACAGAAAGCAAGCACCGTCAACTATTCTCGAGTTTGATCTGTTGTTATAAATACTATGAATTCTGTATCCATAAGGGCTTTCAATTTTCCTCAAGTTAACTTACATAAACCATCTCAAATTCTGAACATTGTTCATTTTGTATAGCTTCCCTATCCTCATATACCGGCTTGGATACGTTATGAGTATGAAATGAAATCATGTCGTAGAATATAGGCTTTATCTTACCTAAATGAATCAATTTTCAGACACTAAACTCGTTTGCGTATATGGTTCGAATTGATAAAACTATTATGATGTATCTTTATTGTATCATCATTCAGTAAACATACATACATTTTTAGAGTTCCAGATTTGTAATACCTAGCGCATTAAAAACATTCCGGGTATCTACTAGTTGTCCACTTCCGAGATCAAAGTATATTTACAATCTAGAATCTTAAACCGGTCGATAAGAACAAAATGGAATTGGAAAGTACGTCAGAGAAGTTGACAGGCAACATTTGGATTCAGATTATGATTTGCTTTGATATGTTCCTCAGAAGAAGAACTATCGATTTTTTTTTTTCATTAAGTTGTGCCAGATAATTTTACCGCGGTAGAGATTCCACTTCAACAATTATGTTCTGTGATTCGCAAAATCTGAAACTCAATCTATGTGGGTGGAATAGTGTTCGAAGCCTTTTGCAGCAAGTTCAACAAACTCGCAGGCATAATTTTCAAGCACGGCCCCCGCCTTCTGCTGGCTGCTTCGCCGGGCCAGCTGCAAGCAACTTACAACACTTAAAAACAATTCAAATGATTGACCTATTCCATGACCTGCAGCTGTTGGCTGGCCAAGCGGGGCTAGAGGTGAGCAGCGCACTTCCATGTCTCGGCTGACGCTTAAGTCAAATAAATGTATAAAAAAGTTGAGCGCTTAACAAGCTCAAGCATCGAGCACAGTTCACATAATTGACTTGTGTTTTTGAGTGCCCCACATATATAGAACGAGAAAGGGAGAGAGAGAAAGAATGAGAGCGAGCGAAAAAAATTTCCGAAAAAAATTATCTAAAAAGAAGGAGAAAAAACTTGTGCATTAAGATGAGTTGCTGCTCTCGTTTCCTTCCTTTGCGCTTAATTGCAATTACGTCAAGCTGAGAGGCGTTGAGCCCCCTTCGGGCTGTTGGACTCCACTGAACCATTTTCGCAATTGGAAATTAAACAAGTTGTCATAATTATAATATATATATACACATATCTGAAAAACTGTCTCATCGCCAGAGTAAAGCAAGCAGAAACCATATAAGTTGGTTTATTAAGTCAAATTAAATGGGCAGGGATTGGGGGGCAACTTGTTAGAGCGCCGCCATCACCGCCTTAATGAGTGGCAATTCCCCAACCAGGAAGTATGAAATGAAAACTCATGTTTATTTTTCAGCCATTTAGCTAATTAGCAACTTACTTAATCTAATCATAATTATATCTATACTCGCATTTAAATAGTGAGAGAGATATTCCTACATGTTTTGTTGAGTCGTGAGTAATCTTAAATAGGACTTTTAATGAATGAGATATAATGAAATAAACTTTCTGTAGTAAGCGGACCGTACTTCAAATGTTTTCTTACTGTGTCTGAAAGTAGTTTTTTTCGTCCTTAAAATTCGTTTAAAATAGTGTATATTAAGAAATCTATACGAGGAGAGACAAGTGAAAGGCAGCTCATCAGTAAATTCAATGAAAAAAGATATTTGATAACTGTTTTCCTTTTTAATTTAATTTATTTTAATTTAATTTAATTTAAAAGCTGCTCAGGATCTTAATATTATACATTGAAGCATCGTTAGAGTCTTTAGGGAAATGTATATTATACTTTAAGATTGTAAAAGAAATCTCAGTTATGACCTAAATCCCTACAGCTTTAAGTAAATGTCTGCAAAAATGATATACATCAATCCTAACTAATCCAATCTCAATTTCTGTCCACTATTTACAGATACCGCTGGATCAAGAACGGCAAAAAGTTTGATTGGCAGGCGTACGATAATCGTATGCTGCGCCAACCTGGCCGTGGCACACTGGTAATCACATCGCCCAAGGATGAGGATTTGGGACAGTATCAATGCTTTGCCTCCAACGAGTTCGGAGTTGCCACCTCGAACTCGGTGTTCGTGCGCAAGGCAGAGCTGAATGCATTCAAGGATGAGGCAGCGCGCAGCGTTGAGGCCGTTGAGGGCGAGCCCTTCTCACTGCAGTGCGAGGCGCCCGATGGCTGGCCAAAGCCCACCGTCAACTGGCTGATTCAGCAAACGGTCGATGCAGGCATCAAGTCGATCAACAACTCACGTATGACCCTCGATCCGGAGGGCACGCTCTGGTTCTCGAATGTGACACGCGAGGATGCGAGCGGCGACTTCTGGTATGCCTGCTCGGCGACCTCAGTCTTCCGCAACGAGTACAAGATCGGCAACAAGATACTGTTGGACGTCAAGCAGATGGGCGTGAGTGCGTCGCAGAATCGTTACCCCCCAAAGCGCCAGTATGTGACCCGCAAGAACGAGGTGGCGCTGCGCGGCAAGCGAGTGGAATTGTATTGCATCTACGGCGGCACACCATTGCCACAGACAGTCTGGCTGAAGAACGGCAAACGGGTGGAATGGAATGATCGCATTACCCAAGGCAACTACGGCAAATCATTGGTCATTCGACAGGCGAATTTCGACGATGAGGGCACCTACAGCTGCGACGTTTCGAACGGTGTGGGCCAGGCTCAGTCCTACTCGATCAATTTGAAAATACATGCCATACCCTATTTTACCGAGGAGCCGGAGATCCAAAATGCCGCTGAGGATGAAGAGGTCGTGTTCAATTGCAAGGCTGCTGGCCATCCAGAGCCGACCATCCAATGGATACACAACGGTAAACCGATTGAACAGAGTGAGCCCAATCCGAGACGCACGGTGACTAACAACTACATCAAGATCGTGAATCTGGTTAAGAACGACACGGGCAACTATGGCTGCAACGCCACCAACTCGCTCGGCTATGTCTACAAGGATGTGTATCTAAATGTGCTCGCCCTGCCGCCAGAGATCCAGGAGCCGCCACGTGCCGAAGCGACCGTCAACGGACGCAACATCACAATGCGCTGTCGCGTGTTTGGCGCACCTAAGCCGCAAGTGAAGTGGCGCCACAACCACAACTGGCTGACCGGTGGACGTTACACAGTGCTGCCATCGGGCGATCTACAGATCCAGGAGGTAACATTCGCTGATAATGGCAACTACACGTGCTTAGCCGTGAACAAGTTTGGCAATGAAACGGCGCAGGGCTCGCTGGTGGTAAAGGAACGCACCAGGATAACACAGGAGCCCCAGAACTATGAGGTTGCCGCCGGTCAATCGGCCACTTTCCGCTGCAATGAGGCGCACGACGACACTCTGGACCTAGAGATTGAATGGCTGAAGGATGGTCAACCCATTGACTTCGCGGCGGAGGCGCGCTTCGTGAAGACCAACGACAATTCGCTGACAATTGCCAAGACACAGGAGCTTGATTCCGGTGAATACACGTGCGTGGCGCGCACACAACTGGACGAGGCGACGGCCAAGGCGAATCTGATAGTCCAGGATGTGCCGAATCAGCCCCGATTGATTGGCATCACATGTCAAGCGGACAAGGCGGAGATCTCCTGGGAGCCCCAGGGCGACAATCGCTCGCCGATTTTACACTACACAATCCAGTTTAACACCTCGTTCACGCCGGCCTCCTGGGATACTGCATACGAGAAGGTGCCCAGCACAGACTTTTCGTTTGTGGTGCAAATGTCGCCGTGGGCCAACTACACGTTCCGTGTGATTGCTTACAACAAGATTGGTCCCTCAGAGCCGTCTGGACACAGCGATATGTGCACCACACAGCCGGATGTACCATACAAGAACCCGGACAACGTCGTCGGCCAGGGTACTGAGCCGAACAATTTGGTCATCTCGTGGACTCCGATGCCAGAGATCGAGCACAATGCGCCCAACTTCCAATATCGCGTCAGCTGGAAGCGTGACATACCCGCCGCCGCCTGGGAGAACAAGGATATCTACAATTGGCGGCAGGACAATCTTCTGATTCCCGACCAGCCCACATTCGTCAAGTATCATATCAAGGTGGTGGCCATCAATGCCAAAGGCGAATCGAATGTGGCCGCCGAGGAGGTGATTGGCTACTCCGGCGAAGATCGACCCCTGGAGGCGCCCACCAACTTCAGCATGCAGCAAGTGACGAGCGCGACGACCGCCTATGTGGGCTGGAATAAGGTCAGCGAGGAGTCCGTGCGCGGCCACTTCAAGGGCTACAAAATTCAGACATGGACTGACAAGGAGGGCGAAGAGGGCATGCGCGAAATCCATACAATTGACAATGGGGCTTTGGTCACACAATTCAAGCCCGACTCTAAGAACTATGCCCGCGTGCTGGCTTACAATGGACGCTTCAATGGACCGCCCAGCGCTGTGATCGACTTCGATACGCCCGAGGGTGTACCATCGGCGGTGGAGTCTTTGGAGGCCTACCCTCTGGGCTCGTCAGCCTTCTGGCTCACCTGGAAAAAGCCGCTCAGTCCCAATGGCAAGCTAACGGGCTACAAAATTTACTACGAGGTGGTTAAAGGCAGCTACGTAGGCGAACGACGCGAGTACGAGCCCCACATCACTGATCCCCGTATCACACGCATGAAAATGGCCGGCTTGAAGCCGAACACTAAGTATCGCATCTCAATCACAGCCACTACCAAGATGGGCGAGGGCACCGAGTAAGACATATCCTTTCGCTATAATCTGAAGCATTTTTCTAACAAATGTGATTTTCCCATGACAGGCTATACATTGAGAAGACCACACTGGGTGAAGATGTCGCACCACCATCCCCACCCTCCCTCGCATGGGAGCAATTACAGTCGCCCAATGGTCAACCCACTTACCGCATCAGTTGGCTGCCCAGCACTGATGGTCGCTCGGGCTCACACTTCTTTACCAAGTACAGGTGAGTTGACTTCGCGTTCCTTCAATTATATTCGAAGTGGTCGAATTCGAATGAATACAATTGATCCCAATTTATAATTGAATACTTGCACAGAATCAAGGGTGAAACGGAATGGACCACCAAGGAGCCCGAGAAATCGGTTGATTATCAGGACATTGGCAGTCTGGAGCCGGATACGGTATATGAGTTCCGCGTCGTGTCCGTCGATGGACACTACCACACGGAGAGCGCAACTAGGGAGATCGATACGAGCAGCGCCGAGGGACCCATTATGGTGCGCAGCGACAATCTGGCGAATGCCGGCTGGTTCATTGGCATGATGCTGGCTTTGGCCATCATCATCATCCTGTTCATCATCATTTGCATCATACGTCGCAATCGCGGTGGCAAATACGACGTGCACGATCGCGAGCTGGCGAATGGCAGACGCGATTATCCGGATGAGGGCGGCTTCCACGAGTACTCGCAACCGTAAGCTTGATAACTTGATAACGATAACGACGACTCAATAACGACAACATGCTAATTCATTTTTGTCTGCTTGTAGTTTGGACAACAAGAGCGCTGGTCGCCAATCCGTTAGTTCAGCGAATAAGCCCGGCGTGGAGAGCGACACCGATTCAATGGCCGAATACGGTGACGGCGATACAGGTAAGCGTCGCATTTAGCTCCAGTTGCATACCAGGTGTTCCGAGAGTCGCAGTCCATGTCTTTGCTCGTCTTCATTTTGCAATTACAAAATTTTCATTTATTTATGTACTTTTATATATTTACATTTTTTTGTAAACCTCTTTTTTACTGTATTGATGATGATGATAATGATGGTAATGATAATGATGATGATGATGATGATCATGATGACGTTGCAGCTGTGACCACAGCCGCCGGTCATGCCGCCACAGCTGCGCGCAAGGTGGGCATCAAGCAGCCATCTGTGCAAACAATGCCTCAGCCGCAGTCGCAGTCGCAGTCGCCGTCGCAGTCGCAGTCATCACCGCCACCCTACGACAACGCCATGCGCCAACAGTTGCAATCAGACTAGTTTTCTCACTCATATTGCGATTAAGATTGTTGTTGCTCACACACACACACACACACACACATACATACAGACACCACATCTACATGTAATTAAAGGCGGCGACGGTGGCGGCGTTGGCTTCATCTTTCTTCAGCCATTTCGTCCAGGTAGCTCCCACTTTGCCCGGGCTTTTGTTTATGCATTTGTGCATTACATTTTGGCGGTTGCATTGCCAGCAACCAACAACAATTTTTTTGCTGGCCTTTGCATCGCGCTTTGCTTCAAAGTTTTGTTACGCCCCTTTCTTTTTCATGCACGCATAGTTCTCAATCTTCCTGTTTATGTATAAATGTATATACATACATACATATATATATATATATGCATATGCGTAACCAGCATGTGAGGCTAGGATCATCCATTAACAGAGTGTACAACCAAACCTAGAGAGAAAATATCTGAAGAAGAATGTGTTTAAAAGTATTTGCCCTTTATTGAGTATTTAAATAGTAGAACATACTTTAACCAGTGCTCACCATAACTGTGATTAAGGCTCGCAAAGAATGAATACGCCTAAAAAACTGAATATAGAGAGAAGCTACATAGAAAAAAGTATGAAGCCCAACGAAAGGAATATATTATATATTTAAATATCAAGATCAAATGTAATCCCAATATTGGACATATACGGAAGATATACATGAAATATAAAAAATATATATATGAAATATAAAACAGAAGGGAATTGGAATCAATACTAAGCAGAGTGATAGCATAAACTGTATCATAAAAAGTTATCAGACTGATATATTTGAAAAACATTTTACGGAAACTATAGAATATATCTAAAAAAAAATGTTCAGATTAATTATTGGCCATATGACACACTTGGCTACATAAAATAAGGCATATCTCAGTTTACGAGTTAATTCTAATGTCTGTCGTAAAAATGTAAACTAATTAAATATTTATAATAATTATTAAAATACAATCTAGATACAATGTACGGATTCTTCATGCCAAACAAGATATTATATATATGACATGGTATATGTATATGTTATGATACGAACAAGGAATATTAATACGTACTATTAAAATACATTCGAATATTATTACAGATACAATTCAGAGGCAAAGAAAATAAAGCATCTGCTTGCTAAGGCCTAATTGACAGTTATAAAGAATTTGCTTTAACAAATATGTCCTTGAGTAGAACTGCCTTGATTATTGCTTTGGCCACTTTGTGCAACGTTGTTAGCTGTAAGCTTTGCTCATTGCCTTTTAACATGAACAGCCACAGTTATATAATTATATATATGTATATCAAAGTAGGGACTACAAGACTCTTGGCATGTGACACTGAGCGGATGATCCTAGGTTAATACATTTACTGTATATGTATGTGCTTTCTTTTGTATATGTCCTCAGGCCCCTGTTTATGATTAATCGCTGAATGTTGTTTTTGCGTTTTGTTATTTGTTTGTGTTTCATTTCGTTTTCATTACGTTATTTATATATATATTATTATTATTATTCGTTATGCACAACATTTAATTTACTTATACGTATCATTTTTGTTTTCTTTTCTTCAACAACTTTTCTGTTAATTCAATA